CAACAAATTTTAAGAGAAAATTTTCAATCTGGTTTTTGGATTTGGACCGTGAAGCGACAGCCCCACATGAGTGTATCCTGCTAGTCTTTTAGAAGATTGTTAAGATCGATACATGTAAACACTGCTAAGACGTAATGTTACGTATTCTAAAAAGGTTGGCCCGAAAGTCGTGTCGGGGTCTTCTACTGGATCTAAGGTACCTGCCTGCTTGAGCTACAGGGTTAAGACCACCACCATTCTGCTTTAAATCCGACACGTGTAAACACCTCTCTGGCTCTCTCTGGGGCTCGTCCAAACATCAGGTTCACGTTGCGATTCATGTTTAAACAGGAACTAGATCTGCATGGTAAGTTTGGATACCTGCTCCTCCGCAAGGTCCATAAAATCACATTGTGCGTGTGCCCCAGGGTTCCATTGTTTCGGTCCAGTCCTTTTTAACCAGCATAATAACTGTACATGGCTACCCCCCTCCAACTGGCGCATCTTCGGGACTTATTATTCACAAGAGTGCGTTCGAGGAGACTGTGGAATCCAACTTGACTTCCATCAGTTATGCACGGTTTCTAGCTATCAGTGCTACATCTCATGTCTCCCCTCTTGATTGACACCAGCCAATGGCTCCATGCTCTTTTTACGTGCCTTTATACCTGAAGAATTCCTGGAGTGAAGGACAGGGAATATAACAGATATACATCTCGCTGCAACTAGAGACAAAGACTGCTATTAGGTTTTTATATTGCGTTCTAACGGTACTCGAGCCCAGAGCGAGAGAAATTATATCAAGAACTCAATCTCAGCTCTAATTAAATAAACTAACATCCATCGATCACAATGTGCAGAATGTTGATACTAGAATGTGCAGCGGGAGCTATGTATGATTCTTTGAATTGCCATCTTCTTGGCAGCTGACTCTTATATAGTTGCTCTCTCACATCAAAGAGGCATCTACACAGTAATATAGTGTTTATTATCTATCTACTGAAGCATACGATCGCCCTTGCAGACGTTTGAAGGTTTGAAAGAGTAGATGCCGATGCTCCACGCATTCGTTCATAGCTCTCTTGGAGGCAAACGTGAGTACGCTTGGTGATGCTTGTAGGCTTGATGATCTTAATTCTGCTGGTGCTCTTTACTTCGCTCCTCCAGCTTCTAGTTGCTTGCTTGTACTGTGAGAGAGATGAGGTATAGAAGCAATGTCGTCAGATCTCGCGGTCTCTACGTGTTGCCCGGAGAGCTGAACTGGGGCGCGACTATCTGGCGATGCTTCTTTGGCTATGTGTAAAAACCTATTTTTTGATGTTCTGATGTGAGTGAAATACTTAAAGTCGCACGAACTCAGAACCTGTCAAAGATTCACGCCCATGGTTTCTCTACATTGTATGTATGTATGGCATTAAAAGAGTGTGATGTGGTAATTTAAGTTTTTGATAAATGTGACTCTCTTGGGACTGCAGGGACCGGATGACTAAGAACCTACAGTAATGTACGATCCTGGTGGTAGCTGGAATGAGAAAGTTTTCGCCATGCCAGGATTACAGGGTCTGAAAGAGATGGCATCGTGTAAAAAAGAGCAATCCATTGGCCTTGGGTCATCAGGAGACATGAGAGATGTACAGCTGGTATCAGCTGCATAACTGATGGAAGTTAATCCAGTCTCCCGGACGACACCGCCAAGTGGGTGCAGTACAGGTTAAAAAGGACTGGACTACAATGGAACCCTGGAGGCACGACCAACAGGGATTTTAGGTGTCCTGAGAGGAGCATGGTGATCCAACATCATTACCATGAAGGATCTGTTGTTCTAAAGAAAAAAAGAACACATGTACCACACACACCATATCAACTACAAGAATGAGTGTAACCTTTGAAGATTGGGACAGCATAAAAGCCAAGAGAGGCCGACTTGAAACTAGTTTCAGGAATGGGATGTTATTTAATAGAAAGTGGTAGTGGAAAATAATACTAACTGTATCAAAGGCAGAAGCTTAGCCTAGAACTCAATCCTAGATTGTAGAGGAACTCAAGAGACACCGTGTCCCATCATCTTTTTAACTGTATGAAATCGGCCATTTGACAGAGAGTCATAACATAGTCTAACATACTGATAACTACTATCTCCTGTTTATTGATTGTACAAGAGTATTTAAAATGTTACCTCAAATATGCACTGTAAGGACACAACAGTACAAGGTCATCTGCATACAATGAAAGTATTCGGCCCCATCGAACCTTTCAACATTTCGCCACATAGTTGGCGAAATGTAGCTGTAGTTATCTGTAGTTCATCCAGAGTGATCATAGGGCTCTTGGCTGCATCTCTGATCAGTCTTCTCTTTGTTTGAGATGAAAGTTTGGAGGGACGGCCGGGTCTTGGTAGATTTGCAGTGGTCTGATACTCCTTCCATTTCAATATAATTGCTTGCACAGTGCTCCTTGAGATGTTTAAAGCTTGGGAAATCTTTTCCTATCCAAATCCAGCTTTAAACTTCTCCACAACAGTATCTCGGACCTGCCTGGTGTGTTCCTTTGACTTCATGGTTCTCTCTGCGCTTTAAACAGAACCCTGAGACTATCAAAGAGCAGGTGCATTTATACGGAGACTTGATTACACACAGGTGCATTCTATTTATCATCATCAGTCATTTAGGACAACATGATCATTCAAAGATCCTCACTGAACTTCTGGAGTGAGTTTGCTGCACTGAAAGTAAAGGGGCCGAATAATATTGCACGCCCCACTTTTCAGTTTTTTATTTGTTGAAAAAGTTTAAATTATCCAATACATTTCGTTCCACTTCACGATTGTGTCCCACTTGTTGTTGATTCATGACAAAAAATTGAAAGTTGAAAGAGTCAAGGGGGCCGAATACTTTCGCAAGGCACTGTACATTAAATGGTCACACAGGTGACCATACCATACCAACCATACATCCAGTTTTACACTTATTTAGCAGCAGAGACAGGTCATAAATATAAACATTAAACAGAAGAGGAGACAAAATTCCACCCTTGACGCATCCCATTGCTAACCCTGAATGGGTCAGAAGTGGAGTTGTCCCATCTGACCCACATGGTCTGGCAGGAGTACCAGATGCAACTATCCTTATGAGGAAACCTGGAAAACTTCGATCCACCAATTTTTGGTGGATCGAAGATGATGGTGGACCCATCATCTGTACTTCTTAGCAGGTTTTCCCGACGTTTCGTCCTCAATACAAAGGACTTCTTCAGGGAATGAATTCTCAGACCGCGCGTTGAGAATGAGTGAGAAACCTTGCTTTGCTTTGACTAATCCCTGTACGACTGAGGGCTTACACAAACCTAAACGTTCCATGGTTAACTCGAGCAAACGCTTTAGATGCGTCCAGAAAACACATGAACATAGTTGATCCTTGAGAGTTATATTTGTCCAACATCTCTTTGAGGACATAGATGCACATGTCAGTACCATGTTCAGGCTTGAAGCCAAATTGGTTAGCAGTGGTGTCAAAATATGGCTCGAGTTAAGAGAATACTCTCCAAAACCTTCGACACGGAGCTTGCTTAAAGCAATTGGGCGGTAGTTGTTTATGTCACTGAGTTTACCGGTCTTATTTTTGATTACAGGAATCAATGGACAAAACGGACTGTGGCAAAAGGCCATGAACCAGAAACCCAGTGAAGCAGAGGGCTAAGAGAGGATATTGCCGTGTGCTGGAAAACTTTGTTTACTTTTGCATGACTTTTGCATGTTCAGAAGTCATTATCTAACCCACTAGACTTGTTTTTCAGCTTGAAAACAGCTTCATACACTTCTTGAGGGGTGACTATGACTCCAGGGTGATTTCCAATTTGCCCTCAGCATGTGGTTCCTCAACAAACATTTTCTATGGTTATTATTATTTCTTTTACAGAAAGACCTTCCAGACTTAATGAGGGTATCTACAATTGTATAATATAAGGAGCAGAGTTTAGCCCCATGCTCAGGATCAGTACAATTAATGTTGCGACACAGTACGGCACTTTTAAGTAGTATGACATCCTCAAAAAAACACTCAGTTCTTTGGGTGTAAGCTTGCACTTCTTCACAGCTAAGGCTGAACCAGTCCGGGCACTCACGTAAACTCTTCACAGGTACATTTACAGGAGTTAATTTGGGGACATTTTCTACGTTACAGTACACAGTTAATGGCATATGGTCACATGTAGTCATATTATAATCTATATGCATTTTCACAATGGATACATGTGCATCAGCACTACATATGCAGCAATCCAACCATGATGTGGTGTGTCATGCATCACTAACATACGTGTAGCTTTCTGCAGGCAGAAGCTCCTGGCTGGACCGGACAAGTCTATTTTCACAGAAAAACTGTCAAATGATTTCCAAAAGAAGAGAAGAATCTGAAATATCTGCATTCATATCATAAAGTAAAGTTCTATTCACTTGAGATGTGCATCTCTCTCCTCCAGAACAAAAACATTCAAACAATCTGTCATCGTTTAAAACAAACATTCACAACAGTTAAAGTGATAGTCTGGAGTTTGTCAGAAAAAAGAGAAAGAGAAACATGGTGTGAAAAAAACGACCCAAGCTCCTCCTCCTTCCTTTCTGATTTTTCTTGAAGCCACGCCTACTTTTTCGTGCACGCACCAGAGGAGAGATTATTAATTTAAATATTTGAATATTTAATAATCATTTTTTATTACACGCTCCTCACAGCAGCTGTAGAACGTTCCATTGATTTTAATGTAATTTCAAAATGTTCTACCAATCATTATTATTAGATAACAGTTTATTAATGGCCAAGAGGTCAATTTAATATCTTAAAATGTGTATTTCATTTAGATTTCCAGACTATCACTTTAAAGACTTCATCTCGAGTAAAGAGTCGTATTTTAGTATTTTGCAGTAAAAGTTGTCGTGAGTTTCTCCGCTCATTTCCCTCCTTAGTCCATTTGTCTCGTGGTAAGTTTGGAGAAGTCAATATATTCCACTGTTCTTCCGTCAAACGCCTTCATTTCTGCCATCTTGTGTTGGAAATGTTGGAAGAAGAACTGCAGTTTAGACCAGGATCATTTATTTGAACCCACATGAGAAATATGTGCCAGGGCAGGAAGCGGTGCACCAACAGGACGTCTCTGTAAATGCACGGGTCGTATCCATCCACTTTGGACGGGATGTGAAGTCCTGCAGTCCTCACTAACATGTGTGCCTGAGGACGTAAGCCGGCCCTGGCCAGACACATGCCCATGTAAACATCATCAATAGGAAGCAGCCGTGTGGACAAGGACATGTTGTAAATGACTAAAGCCGTGAAGCCGGAGAGTATGAAGCCTCCTCCGCCGCAGTACGGAGGATAGTGGTTAGATTCCTCCACCTGGACTGGAACATAGTACTTACTCGCTGGTGATCTGATAGGGCCTACATTCTCGATCAGATGCCCGATAAAGTGATGCTTGCTGCCATCGTTGTCCTGGAGGTTGTGGAGATACTCCACCATGTTGTTTGTGTTGACAAAGACATCATCGTCGCCATTAAAATGGAAGCGAGCTTTGGGGCAGTTTCTCTCCATCCACTCCAGAAACAGAATCTGCTTCAGGGTGAGGTTAAAGAAGGAATCCTGAAAGTCCCACTGAAGAATGTCAGAATATAACTTATTTTCTGCTCGTAAAAGCTTGTTTAGTCTCATCTTCTCTTCGCCACCGCCCGACATCCCAGAGATAAAAACCCTTCGGATCTGTAAATTGTTGACTTTCCGTTCCTGGGCCCATGTTTTGCGCAGGACCTCTCTCCGCTCATAGTTTCCCGGTAAACTTTTAATGACCAGAAATAGAAAAACGTCGGATGATTTTCCCGGGCCGCCGCACTTGTCGGGAATGTCCAGGATCATGGGGAAGTGTCGACAGTGGCGGTAGAAGAGAAAGTTTTGAATATGAGCTGGCAGAGTGTGGAAGCCTGAGATGTTGGCTGCAGATGTGTTTGGTTCACACTTGGGCCATGAGTAAACGTAAGAGCTCATCTTTGAGGCTGTTTCCTTTTCATCAATAGTTGTTTTAAACCTTTTCTGAACTGTATCATTGTCAGGATTGTTCTTATCTTTGAGTAACAGCAATAAAACAGCAAAAGCCACGAATATGAGGAAGGACAGGTTCTTCGTAGATCTCATTTTCACAGAAAAAGAGGAACTGTGGAGAAAAGAAGAAATAACAGAATGAATTAAAATACACTTTCATTTCCGTTCAGTTTGCTGAGACAGATTTCCAAATGATGTTTCTGACTCAGTCGGTCACATTCTTATTCCACGTATATTCCATTTAAAATGCATAAGTCCACAACAAAAGGTAAAGTATGAAAAATTACATATATATGACACATATAGTGGAAGTGCAAAAGTCCCCAATATCAATACAAGTGAAAGATCATGAAAGTGCTCTGTTTAATCTGCATCTCAACGAATGAAATCTTCTGCCAGAGGGAAGAAGCTGGAACATGCTTTTCCAGGAGGCACAAAAATCTTTAGAAACAGGAGAATGACAGAGAAAATAAAGAAGATAATAACAATAAAGTACAAACACCTGAAACATCCTTTTCATAATAAACGCTGGACTCACTTTTTTTTTTAAACTTGTTTGTATTTTATTGTTATTATTTCCTTTTAGTTTTGTAAATGTATGAATTGTGCTAATAAACTTGCCTTCTCTGCATCACATACATACTGTGCATGCATTTATCTCGTCTGATTTAGTTTCCACCTTTCCCCGACACCTGCAGAATTAATTATTTAAAGCCTTCTCTACTTACACTAGTTTCAACACCAGCAACAACGCAAAAGGGAAATGAGTCATTTCAGTCCGACCTTGAGGCGAGAAGGTGTTAACACGGCTCTATACTTATTCATTTCACTGTTTAATGAAAATAAACTTCTAAACATGAATCTTCCAGAGGCTGCACTTAGTAAACTCATAAACTCTTCTCTTCCGCCTCCGTCGAGCAAAGACGTGTCTCAGACGCTCCTGCTTCTGACTGCTTGCTATCTCCTGTTTTTGTCTTTTTCCTGGAGTTTTGCCACAAACAACTTTTAGCCAGAATGGAAATGATTAATTGGTCCCTCAACGCAATTGATTCTATCTTTTCAACACGTAAGCGTGGGTCTGGAGAGCCCGTGTGCCCGGACGGGACTTCACCGGCGGGGTATACTCTTGACAGCTGGAACAAGTTTCAGCCCCTTTGTCTGTCGGTCCTGTCTATTGAAGATTCGGAAGACGTATATATTTTTGGCATTTTGGTGGTGGGAATCCTCCTGTTTGGGTTTGGAGCGGTTCTCTTCTACCACAAATTCGGAGGCATGGCAGTTCGCAAGATTCACGACCTGCTGGCCAACAAAATTGATGGGATGTACAAGGAGCTTAACCGAGTCGTGGTTGAGAGTGCCGTGGCTGGTCAAAGGAGAGTGGTGTTGGTGGAACAGTTGATTAAAGATCTTGCAGCTAGTTCACTCGAAGGGAATAAAACTCTGGAGCTGAGATTGAATGACATTGTGTGTCAGGCTTGAACTCTCTGACCCGGCTTGGATTTGCCCCTGTGTACGGAGGTCTGAGGGCGCCGCAATTCGGATTAATTGGATTTAATAGAATATCTGCCTGTTTTTGACTGCTACATTGCATGTAATATTGTCCCCCTGAGGCGATGTGTTTTTTTCTCCTGCTGTGTCTTCTCTCCACTCTTATCTCACATTCCTCGGCCAAGGCCATAATAACAAGTCCGGACTATCTACAACAACTCACACTCTTCAGTCTCCAGCACGGATCCCTCCCCCGCCTCCCTCTACCTATTCATCTTGCTCCCTCCCTCCCCTCCACTCCTTATTGTGTTTCCGACTCACCCCCTCCCTGACCCCGCCCCCCTCTGACAGCCACATTGGGCCGGCTGTAGGAGGCGCTCATCCCGAGAAAAAAATCTGTGGTTTATACAAAGCACAATGTGTCTATCCAACTGTCTGTGTAATCTGTATGTTATTGCTCTCTGCTGTTTATTCTACTGTTTGTCGCATGGCGCCGGAAAGATGGCGCCGTGGCAAGAGCTCTGGTGTGTGTCGTCTTCTCTGTCTGGCGCACACCGAGGTAGTCTTGCACAGTTTTCCAATGTGGTTTTACTGCAAATGGCAAATAAATGAATCTGAATCTGAATCTGAAGAATTACTAAAACATGTTTTCTATTTGATTCTAAGATAAATACATTTTTAACTTCACAAAGAAAAGTCTGCGTTGTAAATACTTACCTTTCACTTGTATAGTGCTTATACCCTAACCCTGTATAAAATGATTACGTTTGTGGCTGTAACATGATAAAATGTGCCAAAATGTAAACTTTCATAAGGAGCTGTAGCTGTGGTAAAGTGTATGTGGCTGAAAGTGCTGGAGGGAGGAGAAAATCATAAATGTTGTCATGTCTCTCTCTTTGAATGGAGCCAATGTCCTCCTCTTCATCCAGACATTGGGTCATCATAAACACACTTTTTCTAAGGATATTGCCAATAAAACTGACCCAGAGTTATGACGGATACATGTTACTGCAAGAGGCCATACAAGTAAGTAATGTTTATTTATAGAGCGCATTTTACAATGTTCAGATTTTTTTGCAATTCTCTCCACACGGTGATGACGGAAGCGAGTCGCCGAACACATTTGATCATCAAAGCCCCCAATCTACTCCATCCATTCACTCTATCATTACATTCAGACCTATGGCACATGTTTTTAGTGTTAGGGGAAATCGGAGCACCCGGAGGAAACCCACGCAATCCACTCAGCCACCGTACCGCCCACAAAATACAGTGTTACTTTTATGCCTTTTTAAACAATAGAATAATCTGTTTCAAATAATCCTTCTCACTCCATTTCGAGCTGACAAATTGTAAATAGAAATTAAAGTGATAGTCTGGAACTCTAAATGAATTACAAATTTTAGGAATTGTATTAAATTGACCTCCTGGCCTTAAATGTTGATATAAAATAAGTCATTTTATTAATTCTAATATTACGGGTACAGTGCCTTGCGAAAGTATTCGGCCCCCTTGAACCTTTCAACATTTCGACATATTTCACGCTTCTAACATAAAGATATAAAATTTTAATTTTTTGTCATGAATCAACAACAAGTGGGACACAATCATGAAGTGGAATGAATTTTGTTGGATAATTTAAACTTTTTTAACAAATAAAAAACTGAAAAGAGGGGCGTGCAATATTATTCGGCCCCTTTACTTTCAGTGCAGCAAACTCACTCCAGAAGTTCAGTGAGGATCTTTGAATGATCCAATGTTGTCCTAAATGACTGATGATGATAAATAGAATGCACCTGTGTGTAATCAAGTCTCCGTATAAACTTGTAGTTATCTGCAGTTCATCCAGAGCGATCATGGGCCTCTTGGCTGCATCTCTGATCAGTCTTCTCCTTGTTTGAGATGAAAGTTTGGAGGGACGGCCAGGTCTTGGTGGATTTGCAGTGGTCTGATACTCCTTCCATTTCAATATAATTGCTTGCACAGTGCTCCTTGAGATGTTTAAAGCTTGGGAAATCTTTTTGTATCCAAATCCGGCTTTAAATTTCTCCACAACAGTATCTCGGACCTGCCTGGTGTGTTCCTTTGTCTTCATGGTTCTCTCTGCGCTTTAAGCAGAACCCTGAGACTATCAAAGAGCAGGTGCATTTATACGGAGACGTTCCCTCCATCCTCATGGGGAACGTACGGTCCATCTCTAATAAGACTGAGGAGCTGACCGCACTGGTCCGCCATCATAAAGAGTACAGACAATGTGGACTTATGTGTTTCACTGAGACGTGGCTGTGTGGGAATATACCAGACTCTGTGGTCGCGCTGGAGGGATTTAAACTTGTGCGAGCGGACCGCTGCGCGGAGGGGAGTGGGAAGAGCAAAGGCGTGGAGGATGCCATCTCCTTTGCTCTGAACTCTGTCTACAGTCACCTGGACACTAGTAAATCTGTCGCGAGAATGCTTTTCATCGATTATAGCTCTGCTTTTAACTGCCTTGGTAAACTGGTAAACTGATTGAAAAGCTCATGTCTCTCGGTTTAAGTGTTGCCATGTGTAAATGGATTTTTAGCTTTTTAACTGACAGATCTCAGAGAGTGAAAATCAATGACTGTTTTTCTGATGTTGTTTCTGTCAGCACTGGTTCTCCTCAGGGATGTATTTTGAGTCCTTTGCTTTTTACTGTGTACACTCACGATTGTGTGTCCTCCTCTGACTCAAACTTGATCATCAAATATGCTGATGACACCACCATCATCGGTCTCATCAGTGACAATGACGAATCTTCTTATAGAGCAGAGATACAAAATGTGGTTCAGTGGAGTAAAACTAACAACCTCCAGCTGAACGCATCGAAAACATGTGAACTGGTCTACGACTTCAGTCGCAATAGTTCTCATTTGCCTGTCGTAATCGACAACTCCCAGGTGCAGATCGTAGAGGAGTGCAAGTTTCTGGGTTTAACTCTGTCTAACGACCTGAAATGGGTTAAAAACACTGACCGGGTCGTTAAGAAAGCCCGTCAGCGTCTCTACTTTCTGCGTAAACCTAGAGAATTTACCTCTAACTCTAAGATTCTGCTTAACTTTTATCGCTGCACCATTGAGAGTTTACTTGTTGGTTCTGTGTCTGTGTGGTTTGGAAACATCACAGATAAAGAAAAGAGAGCTTTAAACAAGGTGCTCCGCTCTGCAAAGAGGACCGTGGGCTGTGAGCTTCCTGTTCTGGAGGTTCTTTATAAATCCAGACTTTTAAACAAAGCTCTTAGGATTGTCAATGACTCTTCTGGCCACCCTAGGAAAGCCATGTTCCAGCTTCTTCCCTCTGGCAGAAGATATCGCTTTCTGAGATGCAGGACATCTCGTTACGCTAACAGTTTTTATCCACAAGCTGTTATCAGTGTGAACAGAGCACTTTAATGATTTGCACTTGTTTTGAAACTGTTTTAGCTGATCGATTTCACAGTGACATTTATTTACTGTTTTATTTGTTTTATTTTTGTCTTTTAATGTTGTTTTATGTCTGTATTTGTCTGTGCACACTGGTGACTTTTGCTAATGTATTCCAATGTGTTTTTTTTTACTGCAAATGGCAAATAAACTGAATCTGAATCTGATACCAAAGCGATGAAAT